CTGCGATTCTCTCAGGATCTAGCTTTTTCTTCCCCTTTACGAGCCAGTAACCTAGATACTTTACCTCTGGTTCCGTAAATTGGAGTTTAGTTTTTGAAACCTTTAAACCTCTATTTCCCAGAAAATTTAACAGGGTTAAATAACAGGTGGTTATCCTTACCCCTTCTTCATTAGGTCCTGCAATCAGTAGGTCATCTACATATTGCAGCAGCTTGGTCCCTTTTATTGGGACAAATTCACTTAAAAGTTGTTCAAGGGCCTGACCAAACAGGCGAGGTTAGGTGAGTCTACAAATCCCTGGGGCAGGGAGGTGCACCGGAGTTGCTGTTTATGGTTTGTCTCCGGATCTTCCCATTGAAAAGCAAAATAATTTCGGCTTTTCTCTGCCAGAGGGCATGTCCAGAAAGCATCTTTCAAATCAATCACACTGTACCAAATATCCTCTGGTGAGACATTATTCAATAGGGTATATGGGTTGGGGACCATGGGGAACAAAGTTTTAGTCTTTTGGTTTACTGCCCTAAGATCTTGTACAAGGCGATAGCTCCCGTCCGGCTTCCGGACCACCAGAATGGGAGTGTTATGCCTCAACATACAAGGTTCCAAGGTCCCCTTCTGAATTAGATCGTTTATTATGGGTTTCAACCCTCACCGACCCTCAAGGGGTAATGGGTACTGTTTTACCCTAATAGGATCCTCCAGCTTTTCAATTTCTGTACGGATAGGTTCCATTTCCAATTTCCCTGCCTCCCCTCCTGTGTGCCATAATTTGAGATTGATTTTTCCCTCATCTTCTGAGGTCAGCTTATATAGACTTACCACAAGCTGTGATTCCTGCACTATCAAGCTTATGCCTAAACCTACCATTAAGTCTCTCCCTAACAAATTATAATCGGCCTCTTCTACCAGCAGCATATTCCCTAAGCACATTTTATTCTCAGATTCCACCTCTACATTTTTTATCACGCGTACCTTAAAGGGTTCCCCTTTTGCTGTGATTACCATAATGGAATCTTCACTCTTTGAACACCCTTGAGGTAAACGTTTTACAGTAGTTCTCTCTGCACCTGAGTCTACTAAAAACATTGTTTCTTATTTCTGAGGTCCAATCCTAAGTTTTATCAAGGGTTCTCTCGGTGTTACATACATCAAATTAAAAAGCCCTTGACACCTCTAGTCCTCCTGGAGCATCTTCTTGTCTTTCATTCTTTTCTTGCACTCTCTTTGGAAGTGTCCCTTCTGTCTGCCATAGTAGCACTCCGGTGCCTCCCTCTGCCGGGGTGCAGGTTTCTTCAGAGGATGCGTGGGTTTTCCCGAAGGTTTCCAAGTACGTGCCGCTCCTCTCACGGTGGGATCTTTTTCTTGTTTCTGGGCTTCTCGGACTGCTGCTACTAGGACCTTAGCCTGAACCTTTTGCTTCTCATCCTCCCTTCGCTTGTATACCTTTTGAGCCTCCCACAACAACTCTTGCAATGGCTTTTCCTGCCAGTCCTCTAATTTTTCTAACTTTCTCCGTATATCCTCTCATGATTTTGCCACAAATTGTGTTTTTAATAATATGGCTCCTACCGGGGAGGCAGGGTCAGTACCCGAACACATTTGGAGACCTCTCCTTAGCCTTTCTAGCTAAGGTAGGAGTCTCGTTCCTCCCCTGGCATTCCCCCAAGGCTTTCCCCAAATTCTGCCCCTTTGGTACCGCCCCTCAGATACCTTGGATAACCATATTCCTTAGTTCTATCATCTTTTGTCTATCTTCCTCTATTTGGGCATTCCAGGATGGCCTTTGGTTGGGCCACTTAACCTTCCCGGTCCCCCGTGCAGATTCCTGTGTTCCCAATCCTTTATTGCAGCCACTGGTATCATATCTCGCTCCTCAGCATTAAATAACAATCTCATAATAGCACACATATCATCATACAAATAAATGCTATTCCCCAAAAATTCATCTAGTCGCTCTGCCACCCCCACAGGATCATCCATGATTTTCCCCATCTCCTTTTTGAATGCCTGCACATGCCCTGAGTTTATTGGTACGTTTACATAACCAGTGACCCCTGGAGCAGCTGGGACCTCTCTGAGTGGAAAGAGTCCTGGCTGTCCCTCCTCGTCTTCGCTGTCGTCTGCGTGTACTTTCCGGGTCTTACATCTTGTGCAGCTGGCGGGTGCGGATTCCTTTCCTGTTGATGGATGTGTCCGTGCAGTGTTCTCCTCGGGTTGCGTGGGAGGAGGTAGAAAGGACAGGGTCCGTTCCGATGGGGAGGGGTTCGCTGGTGCTGGCTCCTGTGGGACTTCGGGCGGCGGTGCCTGCGGTGTTACCGGGCACTGTCCAGGGTTCTCGGGTTTGGGGAGAGGTCCGTACATCTGAGGTTTGGGTACGGGGGAGGTAGATTCTCCAAAGGTTCCCAAGTCTTTACCGACCCCGTTGGCTGTTTACACGCTCTAACGGGGAACAACTCGACATTAGCGTACTCCCATATCCGAGCATATTCCATTTCCTCCTCATTAGATCCTTCCTCAAACACAAACTCCCCTAATGCCCTACATATTTCCTTATTAAACGACCTGAAAATGGGCCAAAAATACGTTTTCTGATTTCTACATCAGCCCACTTCTCCATACAGTAGTAGACTGCCTTTTTCTTAGATTTTACCCTTCTAGTAGGGCAGTCTTCCCAGTGTTCTAACATCCATCCCAGAGGACTGTACCTTGAAATGTCAGGGAGATCAAACCTTCTCTTTCTCACTGGTTTATCAGGATTTTTTTCCTTGATTTTACTCCTTTTCAACCCCATGTTTTACTCCTTACTTACCTCCTTTAGGCCTATTTAATTGCAGAATTGCCTTTTTCCTTTTTAGTGGTATACCGAAAAAAAGCTTTTGCTGACCTACTAATCACGTAGCGAACCAAACTGCAGATGTTTAGTCAACAGACTAGTGAGCTCTCTTACCTGTTCCCTGGATCCAGCGAGGTCCCATCATTCCTCCCGATCCAGCCAGCGATCGATCAAACAACCCCCTTTTCCCTCCCTTTCAGCTTCCCGGGGCTTTTTGGGTTGGTGTGTGTGTTCCAAACGAGCTTTCCACTCGCTTCCCCCGCGACTGACCACTTTCCTCGCGGAAGAGTGGAACTGCGATCTTGGGGTCCGCACTCACTTCGTGATATTTATCACGTCTCATACAGACTGGGTCACTCCCCACTCAACCACGCAATACTTACGGTTCGTTTTCCTGCGTGGATTCTTCGTGCACGTTGGTTTTACGAGTAAAAATAGCCGTCTTCCGGAGAACTATCTCCGTCCTCGAGAGCTCTGGGCCTGTTCCCACCTTTTGATTGTGGCTTACTTTTTTGGCTACCAAAAAGTTCATTTTATCTGATTGGTTCTGATGAGCTATCCCAATCTTGTCTGGCCGCTGAATTCAGCGGGGCGCCGCCTGGACCTCGAGAGGGGACCCTGCAATCCTTACCAGATCACGTTGGGGTCACCAAATTGTTATAAATGAAAAATTAAAAATAGCCAATTTCAATAAAAAAATTAAAAATAGAATTTATTTCGTGACCGTAATATAGTCCCGACAGCCACCAATCAGTCGGACAGCATACCACCCCCGGGAGGTGATGCGGGTGAACGTGAGATTGGTCTCTCTAGTACCAGTTCTTCCCCATCCACACTGGCTGCTCCGAGGCAGCAGTTCTTATACAGTTTATTTTGCCCGCAGCAGAGTCCCTTTCTTTCTTTCCAAGTTCTTCATATTCAAGTTGGTTTCTCTCTTTGGCTCGGGCTGCACAAAGCCTTCGTCCGGGAATGGAAGAATACACTTCCCCGATTCCCAGAATCTGGCATTCAGGTGGAAAGTGTTGATGGCTCTGGTCATCTCAGGTAGGTATCTCATCCAGGCCATCATTGCTTGGGCGTCACTGGGTGCATGTTTCTGTGAATGCCCATCTCCTGTGCAGCGAGGTTTTCTTCACATGTAAATGTGGTGATGCCTCTCATCTCATCAGTTGGGCATCTGCCAAGGTTTCGCCATCCTGGGGAAGAATCTCTCCCTCCCCCTCTGTGTACCAGCCATTTATTTTATACATATATATTTTATACATATTTTATTTCCACGAATTACTAACCATGTTTGTAACAGCTTTTGAGAGCCTTTCTTATGGTTTTGCAAGTTCACTGCATTATACATGCTCTAAAGCCTCATGAATTGGTGACTGCTCGAGAAGGGCCTTGGACTTCTTGGTCCTTAAAGTTGTCACCTTGTCACTGTGGCCCTCCAAGTGTCCACTTGGAGTCACCCAGCTTGCTCCGGCACAGCGGACAGCGGGAGACACTCTCCCATTGCTCGGGAGGTTGGGAGGGCAGCTAAGACTTTTGCCTTACACGGGCAAGACACTGAGCAGCACAGGTAAAACGAAGGAGGGGGTTCAGTCCAGGTTTATTGAGGGAATATAGCAGAGGAAATCCACAATGCAGGGAGTCCAGCCAACAGAAATCCAGCCAACAGAATACACGAGGTGCCCTGTGCAACAGTTTATAAACTGGGGAGGATACAGGGGCGGGGCGTGCCCATACACCAGTGGGAGTATATGGGGATGTGGAGATTGGGAACACAGACAGTTGGGAGAATCATTAGGGGTAATTCAGGGGAGGGACCCCGGTGCCTAAACCTGTCACTTGACGCCCCTGGTAGAAGTTTCTAGAGAGAAGGGATGGGCTGCTGAGTGATGGACAGGACACTGGGGATGGGTTGAGAGAACGACAGAACACTTTTTCAGGGAGTAGCGGGTGTAGGCAGTGAGATTTACAAGGGGGAAGAGGGAGGAGCAACAGGGGAAGAACCATTAGTAACGGAGAAAGTGGAACAAATCCAGGTATAATTTATCACAACTAAATCCTACAAAAACACAATACAACATTATCTGATACATTAAGATTGAAGAATATTTGGTTTTGTGTGTGTGCCTGTGATATTAACTACAGGTAATCTACTTTTTTCTCTTAGGAAACTGTCCTTGTCAAGTGTAGTCGTCCTGGCCATGTCTCAGTAAACAAGACTTTTCAGTTTGAGAGGTGGGTAGTACTGTGTATCAATCTGGAAATCTGAATTGCTGGAAGATTTGTGTAGTGAAGACAAATATTTTTAGTAGACATTAGCTAGAGGGTAATGCTCTTTTTGGTTGCAATTTTTGAGTAGGGCAGGTGGGAGGAAAATTCCTGGGGTTTTTTAATGTGGTAATTATGTCCTCCTCCGGACAGAATAATGCATTTCAGGGAATAGATAACTCTCAGTTAACCCTGCTAATACAGCTGAGTTTGAAACCTTTATAGAGACTTGACTCTTTTCATAACATGAGTAGCTGTCCTGATTCCTGCAACGTGTTGCAATGTAGCAGAATGTCTTAAAGGTAAGGAAGCCTTGTTTGCCCTTCAGTACTTAGAGGGAGCTCATAAGAAAATGGGGCCAAACTTTGCATTGAAGGGCCTATTGCAATAGGAACAGGAGTAATGGTTTTAAACTAAAAGAGGGTAAATTGAGACTAGATATAAGGAAAAATATTTTCAGAATGAATGCGGTGAAACGCTGGAATAGGTTTCCCAAAGAGGGGCTAGATGTCAGATTCCTGGAAACATCTGAGGTCAGGTAATATGGGACTCTGAGCAACTTGATCTAGTTGATGTCCCTGCTCATTGCAGGGGGATTGGACTAGGTGACCTTTAAAGGTTCCTTAAAACCCATACAATTCAATGGTTCTATGAATTGAGGTGGATTGCAAGGTTTCAGCATTTGATATAGAATTTGGCAGAAACTGGACTGTGCACTTGTACGAGTTGATGTTCAAACAGCCTGACCAGAGGCAGGAAGGCAGAGCAGTGGCATGGGAATCAGTGCTTCCCAAGGGAAAGGCTACAGTGGACTACTTTCCATATTGAATGCTTGAAAATCCACACAGATGAATAGGATTTTGAATGCACCATTTGTGATAAGGGTTTTAATGGGACACTGGAGTCACTGCCAGTCTCTGTCAGTGAGACAGAAAACTGCTGGGAGTCAGACTGAGGAGTGTCTTCTATTCTGTTGAAATAGTGCTGACTTGGACCTCTGAAAACAGGAATGAAGAGTTAAATAATACAATGAGAACTCTGCAAATGACAAAATACAAAATTTTACTCCAATGCTTTTTTTTAATGCAAACTTTGAATCTGTATATTGCAATGACTCAGGAGGCTGTCTACCCTGAACCATGATGCAAAACCCTCTGGAAACAGAATACAGGAGGACAATTTCATGCTTCCTTGATTTAAAGTCAGATGTACCTAGCATGAATTATCTGTCCTGGTTTAAATTTAATATGTGAGCCTTTTCAGCTGAAATTCCTGTAGGTTTGCTAAACATTGTTAGATTTTTACCCTTTCCTCAAGGCGTTCTTGTAAAGAGCTGCAGTTTTCTACTCACAGGAGAATGGGGACTGCTGTCGTGCAAGCCACCAAGCACCTGAAAAATCCTGAGAAAATGCAGATCATGGGGAAGCTTTACTGATCCCACAGGTTATAGGACATCTTTGATTCAAGGCATAACAGATCTCTTAGGGTGTATGGCCCCCTCACATGTTGCTAAGCTACTCAAAGTAGTTCCTTTCACTCTTCAGCTACCTAACCCAGCCATATCAGTTGAAGTAAACACAGAATAATGCTGGAATTCAACTCTGTAGAGAAGCACAGTTAATGGTATTGACACACTACTCCAGAGGTGCTGTGATTCTGGAAATGTGGTGTAGCTCCTGGTAATCAGGAAAAGGGTTAAAAAAATGTAAATCCCCTAAAGAATGCAATTCTCCAGGAATGTTTTTTTAGTGTCCCAGTACAGCTATTTTTTTTATAAACAGAAAAGCATATGTTTCTTATGAACTCTAAAATGTTTATTTTTTTTAGCAATGTTTTATGGAACTAATAAATGTCAAAATATTTGATTTCAGCTCAGGAAGAAAATTCCAGCTTTCAACATGTTATGCTTTTATAATTTTATTGGCAAATCAGTTAGCAAAATAAAAAGGAAGCTCAGAATTTTCAATGTGAAATTCACATTAATCAGTGCACAGGGACAAATCTATCATTTGAGTAAAAATACATGGGGCTTTAGAAAGGGATTCTTTGGATTTGCACCATCTTGCATGGTTTCAGATAGCTAATGAAGTGGGTGTCCATGCTTCAGCCAAGATTGTGGTTACAGTGTAGCATAAACTAGTTCGAGACTACTTTAAACCACTTTATTTCAGTATGGATAGCATTTGAACCGCAGCAACCAATAGTGGCAGTAAAAACCGTTTAGGAAGTCGACTGAATATTTGAGTTGTTACTGTAACGTGGAATCACATGCCTTTCCTCAGGTCAGCTACCGAAGCCTGGTCCTGCCATAGCTGTACTGACCCCAGCTGTAGATGTGCTTGGAAGAAATGGCCTCAAGCTGAACTAGGGCTTAGGTGTGTGTCCAGCCTGTGCTCAGGTTGAACGTCAAGATTTTCTGCACAGAAAGGGTGCTTCAGCTCTGGAACAGGCTGTCCAGGGAGGTGGCGGAATCACCATCCGTTGAAGTGTTGGATGTGACACCTACTGTTATGGGTTAGTTGGCAAGGTGGCATACAATCAAAGGTTGGACTTGATGGCCTTGGAGGTCTTTTCCAAGCTAATTGATTCTGTGATTCTACTTTGCTGTGCAAATGAACTGCTAAGACTGATTGATTCTAGCCTGTGTTGTGGCCAGTAGCAATATGTTTGCTTTCTTAGGCAACAAAAGCCATCAGCAGTGAATGTTTTAATCATTAAAATGACTTTCTTAGCGTTTTCTCTTTCTTTTTCTTTTTTTTTAAATTTACATAGTAGCTCTGAGATGTTTTGATTTGCAAAGAAAAAAAATTTCAACACATACTGAGTTAGAGATCTAGTTGGTTAAGATGGAGAATTGCATGCTAATGAATATTTCATCAATTGCAGACAGATGAAGCAGAGAAAAGTGTTTGGAAGTGCTTATGCTGTTTTATATTGACCTTGCAGATTGGATGTGCACAGTTTACTGAAGAATATGCTCATGTGCATGCAAAGCAGGGACAGAGTATTCAGCGCCTGTGTCCTTCTGGTCTGAGCTGTGCCACATCCCTGCGTATTTGTTGGTTTCTCAGTGCACTGTGATGGCACATCAGTGCAATGGCAATACAAGCAGTATTTGTCTATCAAGCCAGACAAGTGCTCCTTTCCTGATTAAAGAGAGTACGTGTTCATGCAGCTTACAATTAGACTGTGGAACACGTTGCCACAGGATGTTGCTCCGGGACAAGAATTTAGCAAGATGCAGAAAGAAACTGAATGCTAATTCTAATAATATTTTTTCAAAACAGAGATTCAACTCATATTTCAGTTTTGAGGCCAGTATACAGCTTTTAAGGATTAGGATGATGCACAGAGATGAATTATTGTGTCGCTGGCCACCGTATTGTTTCTTGCTCCTTCTTCTCACTGTTGTCAGGAAAAATGCTGAGTTCAGTGCATTGGCTCCAATTCTGTATCTGTTTATCAGTGATCCTTCTGTATAATCTTATTTATGGAGATCATAAATACAAAAAATCTATTTGTGCAGTCTATAGACTGTACCAGACAGATCATGGTCAGATATACAAAGAGGCTTATGTAAATGCTGAAGAGCAATACTTTGTCTTTATTTGGTTAACCCTGTAATGTCCCATACAATCTGTGGGATACTGTTAAGTGAAGTGTACTGGTGTACTGTATACACAAAGAAGTGACTACACTTTGTAACGTTGGCTGCTACCAAAATTCCTGTTTCTAATTAGCCATTTTCTGTGAGCTATAAAGAGCATATATCACCTATTGGAAAACAGAGCTAGACAAAAAAAAAAATCACCACAAAAAGATAGCAGAAAAAGAAACTTTTTCAAAAGGTAAACATTCATACCTCAAATATTTAACTGTGGGTAAAGACATTCATGTTTTAGATTCTGTTCATCTTGTATAAACAATAGGTGCTGCAGGCTGTAATCTTGGTGAGGATACATTTTTGGTGTGCTACAGGAGAAATGAATGAGTTAGGATATCCATGTTTTATGATCAGAATTTCCTCTCTGATGATTTCCTATTTTCAGATTTTGATTTTATGTTGTACAAACCTGAAAGGGTTGGAGGAAAGATTTCTTTGAAGATAACTGTTGGTTTGGCTTTTTTTTCTTCTTGCATTCAAAAATTTTGTCACTTGTTTCAGACATTGTATTGCCCCAAGTATTGAAATGTTATTGTTCCTTTCTAAGAGGTAGAATAACTCATGCAATTTAATTGTCTTCCATTCTGTTTAAACAGGTCTTCATTCCACATCATTATGTAAAAAAAAGTCTTCTTTTGAGTGAGAAGTATTGATTTCAGAGTTGGTATTTCATCTAGGGATGGAAATACCTTAGGCTGATACTGCCCACAAAGATAGTACATCCTTAAATATGACCTTCAGAAGCATTCTGATTACTGCTGTGCCACTGAGTCTTCTGAGACAAGTCCTCAGCAATTTTGCAGTCTCTGTACCTCTTTTTTTTCCCCCCCCAAACTTTACCCACATCTAAAGGTTATTACAACCTAACCACTGTCTTCCATAAAGTGATATATACGAATCCCAGGCAGCAGGGATATTTCACATTCTAGTAGGTGTGAAAAAGTTACACTGATCCAGTACAGCCTAAAAGAAAGACTCTGTGGGCCAGAGGCGCAGGCAGGAGGTCTAGGATGAGCTCAGTCCACAAGGATACACCTATGTATTGTTCTCCCCAAAACACATCAGCTGCTCCCAAAATGTGAGTGAGGACTTTGGAGTTCAAATTTTCAGTTTTGTGTCACAGAAATGTCAGCAGGTCCCAGATTATATGTCACTGGCTTACCTTTTGTATGGTCTGTGTTCTTGTGACAACATTTATATTTTTCTTTGGTTAATCATTACACTTTGTTCCTCAGAGTTTACAATGAACTGGAGTCTCAAGATGCAGTATTTGCAGATGTGTCCCCTTTGCTAACATCTCTCCTGGATGGGTAAGTTAAAAAGGTTGCACTAAGAAAGCTAAAGCACAATAATCTGCTGAAATCTGTCAATTAAAAAAAATACTTAATAATGGTGATCTGGTCAAGTTTTATGTCTTTGCAGTTCCATTTTCCTGTTTTCTTTCTACTCAGCACCAAGCGAATGCTGTTTCTCTGTATAAACAGTGAAAATATGGTTTATAAAATTTAGCAAAGCAGACAAATCTGTAAAAATAAAAAAATCCCAGTTTTTTCTTCTGATCTGCTCCTGTCAAACCGATGCTTCTAACGGAAGATGTTGTCTTTTTTCTTTGTGTTCTTTAGGTTATGCTTTATAACTTTGCCAGTTGCAGGCATTGTATGATACATCTTTTCCAACAGTGTGTTCACTGTGAACATTGTGTGCAATGTGAAGGGCCTGCCAGGGCCACTCTCTGTTCTGGTTTTAGGTCCAGCAGAGGTGGTGCGATCGATTCCTAGTTGAACCAGAACTGGGCATTCTCAGTCATTCTACTGCTCCTTCAGGCACTGGGGTAAAACAGAATTTTGGTTATAATACAAAACTGATCAGTACCAAGCACTAACAAATACATGGAATTACTTCTAGCTACTGAAGCTCATAAAGTGTGATTTTTCATAACTACTGAGCCAACTTAAGCTACTGTTGAAAAGAGGCTTTGATGTACATATAGTTATAATCCTTGAGGCTTAAGCTGAGTTTTATACAGAACCTTTTTCCTGCTCCTTTTTCATCCCTGTTCCAATACCGCTTAATTATATGGTAGAGCTGTCATGGACCTTTTGCTCCCTGGAGGGGAAAAGACAGTCCCTTTCCATTCACAGTGGCATAGTTGAACAATGGGAATCCTTGTTCCCAGCAGCCTGCACACTGGAGTTTCCAAGGATCCTTTTGTTAAAAACATTCTAGAAGAGATATCTAAAGATACTGTGAATATTGGGAATTCCATATGCCACAGAGAGGCCCCCAAGGGCTCCCTGGCTGAGGGAAGTCATAGATTCCATTATTCTTGTTTACCAGTGATGAGTAACCTCAGTTTCTTTAGCTGACCAACCTAGGGACGACTATGTTGCAGGAGTTTAAAGAAGTCTTAAAAATACTGCTTTCTCTCCCTACTTTTCCTTTTGCAATGATCATAATTTTGCCTTGGTTGAACAGGTCCCTTAAGTGACATATCTGATCTGTACCTTGATCTGCTGTACTTCCCACTTCCTAATTTTTACGTGAGGAGAGTCCTGTCCTAAAAGCTAAGATTTTTGTATTCAGTTAGGAAAAGGTCTGTTATTGAAAACAAAAGACCTGTCTTGTTCTCCCAGAAGTGCTGTTTAAACAGAAGCAGATTCTCAGGAAAGGCAAGTCTGTGCATATGAGCACAGCAGCCTTCCCACTGTAAATGGGAAACAGACATACTTAGTCTGAACCTTGAACCTCTTTTCAGCTCCTGATTGTTTTAGTCTGGGTTCCAAAGTGGTCTGTAACAACTTTTAGCTTGAGTAGAAGGGAGTGTTCTCTCATTTTCCTTATTTTTTCTGTTTTTCTTTCTTAATGGATTGTTTGATTTTTCAGTACAAATATACAGGAAGAAAAGATTGTTCCATATGTAAACCAGACAAAGTATAGCAGGCTTCAAAGTTTACTGTGAGCCATACAGGGCCAACAGGGGAGTAAGATAACTTTTCTTTTCTTTACAGCATTGAAGAATCCAAATTATTTATTTTAAAGAATTAATTTCTCCTCCTTTCATTTCCTTTAACAGTTTTCTCTCCTAGGGTAACTTTGCTAGAGTGAACACCCACACTCTTTTCAGGAGAGAAGTGCTACAAAACTATTGGTATTTTAGCTTGACAATATTCTAGCTAAACAAGAATATAACAGTTATATATAATAATAAAGTGGAGAAGGAAAAATATCAGGGCACATAAGTGAATAATAGTGAAAAATCTTCAGGCTTCTCTATTTGAAAGCTTTGTGCTGGATCTAGAGCTAAAAAGTCTAGCTAAAAACAACAAAATTAGTGTAAGCTTTTCTACTGAGTTATGTCAGCAGTGAATACTTCAAGAAATCCCTCATTTCAGGTTTACAGCCCTGATTGCTATCACATTTAATTTTGCTGTAGTACTCATTGTTTTCAATTACAGTTATATCAACTCCTTTACTTCATCAAATCTATGACTAGACTATTTTATACTCTGCAGTGCATGCTAAAATCTGAAGGGACCTACTATAGATTCATTGACTGCAACTTTGACTTCACATTCCCAGAAACAGTACCCAGGTATTTTCCATGTGGCTTATCAGCTCACACTTTTTTCTAACAAGTGAAAGCTTTCAAAATAATACTCCTGAAATAATTGCTTCTAGGCATGTTTAATATGCATGTAAGTATCTCATGACTTGAAACCATACATTTAAAACAATTAGATGAGAGGCGGTCATTGAAATATGCTGGCATGTGCTTGAAACTATATTTTTGATGTGAGGTAAAGCATCAGATAATCAAAAGCAGCTGTTTCAGGTCTGCCCACAGAGGAGGTAGCTTAGGCAGTGAAATTTTATTCCCTGGCAGAAAACGAGCAAGCCCATTCTTGCAACTCTAGTATAGCAGAAGTTTTTGCAAGCTGTGAAGCACTTCTTGTGTAGTTTCTGCTAATGTTGTATCTCTGAACAAATGAGATATTCCAGGGAGAGAGCAGTCCTGTCAGCATAAATGCACGTCTTCCAAGGCTTGGCTGGGACAGTACTGTGGTCAACATCGAGTTGCTGGCAGGAGTAGCAGAACAGACACAGTCTAGGAGGGGCAAAGCTGCACAGCACAGTGTTGGTCCTCCATGTAAAGCAGTACTGTGGTTGGATGCATCTGTATCCACCCACTTATTTTGCTTAAGATGTTGACTTTGATCTCATTGTGTTAGTAACACACTTTCTAGATAGGATTCATACATTTCAGTTCAGATCCCTGTGGCACAGATATCCACAACAGTGCTCACAGCTGTGAACAATTCTTTTTGTATTATTTTCTGTGCAGCCAAGAGGCATTTTCAGAGTTCTGGTCATTAGACATATTTACTTGTCTGCTTCAAAAGATGATGTTTCACACATGCCTCTTCCTTTGCACTGATACTGTACATTTTCATTTTCTACTTGTCCTTATCAGAGCAGTTCCTGCCACCTTTGTTCCAGAGCAGTCATTGTGTGCATGCTCATTCTCAACTGCTGCTCTTGGTTTAAAATTTGTGCCTTCTATTCTTAGGGCTGTCTGATGAGCCTGCCTGAAAAAGGCTATGAGAGATGAAAAGTTCCCAGCTGTTAGGATGCAAGTGCAATGGTTTGCAACGCATCACTGTAACACAAATCAAGCCCAGAAATAGTTTACTTTAAAATGCTGTACTGTAAACTGCAGTGGTTCAGGATCTGATTAAAAAGCAGCTCTGTAGTGCAAAAGCTGAAAGTTGGGCAGGCAAGGAGGTCTAACAGCATCAGTCATTCCAAGCTAGGGATCCTTTAAACTTCTACTTAAAAGCATCCCTTTAACTCTGCTTAAAAAATAAAACCTGTTTAGGTGATGCTATGAACAGTAATTACTGTCAGACTTTGAGATCTGTAGAAAGAAATCAGGAGCAGTGCTTTTATTTTCTTGTTTAAGTTTGTGTTCCCATATTGTTTGAAGTTTGACTTGCCACCTAATAGAGACATTTGGTAATGGCAAAATAAATTACAGCACTTGTATTTTTCAGGTACAATGTGTGTATCATGGCTTATGGGCAAACTGGAAGTGGGAAGACATACACAATGCTGGGACCACAGTTAGAGGGGAACTTAGCATTCGCCATAGAAGAGGAATCAGAACTTGGAATTATTCCTCGAGCTACGCAAGAAGTGTTCAGGTAAAAACTAAGTAAAGGCTTTCTGTCAGTGACAGTCACTTTAAACTGTATAGAAAGGATGAAATAATGTTTGTAGTGTATTTATCATTACAGATTTCAGCTTCAAAATGGTTAATATTTGTAGCTTCTCTGACCATCATTTGATATTTGAAGTTTCATATAGATTTCTAGTCTCTCTCCTGCTTTATCTAATTTTCTAAGACAATAAGATTATGCAGTTTTACTGTGTATTATCTGTCCATCTGGCTTTCAGACTCTAATTAAACTTCTGAAAATGTTTCAACCATAGTTGTGGGAGTCCAGAAGATAATTAAGTTCTGAACGGTTCTGTGAAAATTTACAACTGGAATAGATGAAGAGAATTCAGTTTAGAACCCAGTCCCAAGGAAGAAGGATAATAGCATTTTTAACTACAATCTGTACTTGTTTTAAGGGGTCTTAGATTTTTTTCAGTTGAACCTAATACAGAATTGAACTGATATGCTGCTATGTTATAGTAGAAGAGCCATTAGAAGTTTTTCCGGCTAAGCCTGTTTGTTTTGGAGAAGGGTATAAGCTAAATCAAAGAACCAATTTTGGATGAGAATAACTGTCTAACTGTAAATACTCTCCTGAATAGAGAAGCCCTTAATTTATGGATTTTCTCAGGCTTTTATCAGTGAACAGATAACTTCTTCCAGATATAGTTTCCCATCTCTGTTCATTGCTTTCACTCTGCCAGATTTTATATTCTGAACTCTGAGTGCAATAACTGCCAGCAGAGAAATAGTATTTAAAAAATCCTGAGGTGGGAGGCTAGTGAAAAAAACAAGCTGGCACAGCTGTTTGGAAAATTAAATTCTATTTACTTCCTCAAGTATAAATAAACTGTATATTCTGAGTCTTCAAGGTAACATTAGCATATGGATAAGGCAATTCCATGGCTGCAGATACTTAGTAAATGCTTTTATCAGATTGTAATTATATTACAATTAAAGAATAGATCTCTATTTGCAGATTGTTAATTTGGGGTTTGACTTCAACTTTTTGGACTTTTGTCTTCAAATTTTTTTCTCTTTTTTTTATTTGCCAGGCTCATTTCAGAAAAGCCACCAGGAAGTTGCTGGGTTGAGGTTTCTGTTGTAGAAGTGTATAATAATGAAATTTTTGATCTTCTGGCCAAAGACAGTTGTGGAAAACTGTTTGGCGTCAAGCGTGATGTTGTCACAACCAGAGAAGGGAAGAGTGATGTGCCATTGCTGACACATGAGTGAGTACACGGCTTGCTCCTACAATCCAAACACTATCTGGTGTTAATGCTGTGTAGAGCTGTCACAAAATTGCATTACAGGCACCAGATTGCTTCTTAACAATGAGTCCTTACCATATGCAAAAGAACAGTTCTGTTTCTGTTAGCTTAGTCTATTACACTGCAGTTGACTTCAAATGTCAAAATACTTCCAGAAATAAATGTACAATTACTTTGAGTTATACTCCTGTGCTAAGTGCCTTCCATTCAGAATGCCTGGAGATTGCTGCATATATTGTTGTTGCTGGATCTATGGCATCTTGTCAGCTGTAGAAAAAGAAAGGATAATCTAGTCACAAATCGCTTTCTATTCAGTCTCATTGAATCATAAAATTTACAGATTATAATAGAAATTTATGTACCAGTTGTAAATAGTTAAGCAGCTGTAGGGTGTTAGCTTTTCCTTTATGCATTGGAGTTACAAAAAATTAGAATAAGATTTTAAGTGATATTTTAATACAAATACCCGTCTTAATATTACTTAAAGTTCTGTTTTCATAACTGGATGTGTTAAAACTGGAATTGTTATGTTGGCATTTGAACTGGTAGGTCTTGAAAATCAAGGTTCTTCAAACTGGAAGCTAAGTAGCAAAGCTTCTCACCATTCAGTTTTAAGATGTCCCTCTCCAGCATTGGTGTATGCCAGGTTTGATCCTTATTTACACAACTTGACAGTGTAGGGAAAGCTAGGGTATTTAAGGCTACAGCTATACTTAAAGGCCTTCTTTTACATGCTAAGCATTACAAAGATTTGTTTTAGTGCTCATGAGAATTATTCTTGACATTATGTAAGTGTGGCATACAAAGCAAACGTACAGCGCCTTCTTGTTATATATAAAAAACTTTCCTTGGGTACTTAGATGTTAAAAATCATATGTTCATAAAATTTCATCCATTAACAAGAGGGAATCTGTTTCAGATGCTTCATTTTGGTAATGGCTGTGTCGTTTATCATAGAATGTCTTGAGTGAGGAGGGGCCTACAAGATAACATTGAGTCCAACTCCTGGCCCTGCACAGGACAGCCCCAAGAATCCCATTCTAGTACCTAGCCACCCTCTGGGTGAAGAACCTTTTCCTAATATCCAGTGTAAACCTCCCCTGACACAACTTCTGGCTGCTCCCTCAGGTCACCAAGGAGAAGAGGTTGATTCCTGCCCCCCTGCTTCCCCTCACAACGAAATTGTGACTGCAATGAGGTCTCCCCTCAGTCTCCTCTCCTCCACGCTGAACAGACCAAGTCACCTCAGCTTCTGCTTATGTGGCTTCCTCTCTAGGCCCTTCTCCATTTTTGTGGCCTTTCTTTGGGCCTTACGCTAGTAGTATCAACATTAGCTAGAAAAAAAATAAAATTAGGACAAGCAGTTCTAGTGGCACCAGAGAGGTGATGGTATCCAGTGGAATTAAACTGGACATCTCTCTCTGAGCACCCAGCATGAAAACAGATTCCAGAAGGGAGCATGTGCATTATTGAGATGTCACATAAAGAAGTCCTGCTCCTTGAGTAAATAACATTTGGGAAAAGAAATATGTTGCTCTATTGAAATGTTTAGAAAAGCATTAGTGTTTTCTATGTTTCTGAGGAAATGCGATGTTTTTCTTTGCTTCTCTATAATAATTCTTGTCATGGTCTAATCTCTATTTTTCCAAGGGGAATTAGCAGTCAGATATGAAATGCATCCCATGCCAATTAAATAAAATGCACCACCATCAGTGGAGATAATTTTGTCCTGTGGGACTTAGTCACATAAGCAGACCAGTAGTTTGTTTGTGTGGATTTAATGCTATTCCTAGCAAGCTTTGATAAAAGTATAAGAATGTACTGGAGGATTGTACAAGTGTACTTTTATTCTACCTAGTGATTTTATTGATTTATTGATTTGTACTTTCTAGCAATTTAATTGCTCATAGAAAAGTAGGAGCCCAGAGAAATTGTCAAGTGGTTTTCTTCACTGTAGAAGCTGTAGGACTCTCCTTTCTTTCAATGAAGCAATAAGCACTGCAATATTTTCAGAAGTATTAACATTTGTATCTGGGGTTTGCCTGCTCTTTGGTCTTGAGGTTAAATACAATTTCCATAGAAATTCTGCAAGCTTGATTGCACTCTGCATGCACCAGAAGAACATGGAATGAATGAAAAGTGATTGGAGCTTAAAGTGATGAATCCTTTTGCCCTTTCTGTCTGTATTATGCTGACTAGTGGGTTTCTCTATGTCTCTATTCTTGTATTTCCCAACTGTGACTTTACTCCAACTTTTAGTGCCTAGTTAAGGCTCTGCTGTCAAAGAAATTAAAAACTCCAGAAGAGTCTGGGAGCAGAACTTAACCTGTGTGTGCTGAATCTTTCTTGGGGGAGCTAATCTTTTTCCTTTGACTATACAGGAAAGGAGCCATATTAGAAAGTGAAGATGGGTGCATGTAGTGTGGACATGCTGGGAGTTGAACTTTTCCTGTTTTCATCAAAATCTCCAAGCCATTTTTAATTACGGTATTTCAGTAACTAAGATGCTGGCCTGGCATAATTTTATTCCTGAAAAATGCCTGTTCGATTTCCCAAGGGAGCTTTGCATAGTTAGTGGGTGACCCATCTCTTTTCATAGGTTTTGGGAAAGGGAGAGGCGAGAAGCAACGGGACATGTGCCATAGAGACAAAAAAAGAGAAGATTCAATAAGGTTTCATTTGTCCCTCCAGTTAATAAAATGGCTGCTCTGTTTATTTCTGTAAATTTTAATTTATGGCAAAGGAACCTGGTGCCTTGAACTAAAACTCTTAAAAGCCACTTATCTCGATCAGTTAATACTAAATGCTAATGCAAACATAAATAAAAACATGGACTTGTATCTCAGTTACAATGCAAGCAGTGAAAAAAGTCCAATTCATAAACAGGCTATATTAATAATTACATAGAAAGGTTAATAAGAAAAAACAAACCCAAACAAGGTAAAGGAACCATTGAATGAGGCCACCCACCTGCCTGAAATCTAAAGTAAACAGCTGGTGCTTTGAATAAAAACACATCCTCATTTATGATAATATTTCATCTAGAATATATTGGCCTGCTGGGTCTCATTGGCTTCTCCATATATCCACTAAAGTACAGTAGTTTCTTTCCTGCTAACATGTTCATCTTACTGAATCATGAAAACCTCAGTCTCTTTCTTCTTTTATAGCTTGGTTGACTTTGGAGAACTTTCAGCATCAAATTTTTAATATAACTGCAACAGGGCTTCTCTTTGTAGAATCTGGTCCTAGAACGTGCGACACATGAAGCATGGTGAAGTAATAGACATTATACTACAATACTATTTCTGTCAGTCCTGTGGAGGAGCTACTGTGTCACATTTGCCACACTGGGCAGGGGATGTTGCTTGTCTTCAAAGCCAGCTGCAGCTTCCCAGCCATAGGTGACCAACACTGACAGCACATCCTGAACCCTGTTTTCCATGGCAAATGCAGGGATGGGGCAGCAGCTTGGAGCACTGACCCTTTGCCAGCTCACAGCAGCAGCTTGCAGAAGCCAACTTCCTGGTGCTGCATCCTAGCCAAGGCTGCTTCCCCCTCAGGCCTTTCAGTCCTGGCTGACTAGCCACTGCAAGATGCAGTTGATGGCTTGGGACGGCAGGAGGTGTGCCTCCTTGGATGTGTGGCATAGTTAGATCACCCCATTGTAGGAACTGGAGCCACTACCAGGTCAAACAAGCAGGAGACATCCCTGGTGGCTGCCCAGAGGTGGCTACTGTGGAGGCTGGCATGTGTGGCTCAGGATTGATAGGGGAAGTCTGTAGTGATTGTTTACCTCATGCAGCCCTGTATATACAGGGAACTGCAGTTAGATGGCTGCTTCTCCTAAGTATCGGTAGATATGGTGTAGCCAAATGCTTTTCTGTGCTTCAGATGCCCTTGCTTTGTTTTTTGAGGAAATTGTTTTAGTTGAGTTTGCTTTCTTTTGTTCTTCTGTCTCTAAACTCTTCAAGTATGGCTCTTAGCATAAAATAAGTTTGTGCCTGGTCTGACTTTTACTGAAATCAGCCAAATCTAAGTCTTAAAGTCATTGCTTTTTATCACATCCTAGCTGCTAGTGACTGCAGCATTGTGGAACCAAGCCTTTGGCCTGTCATAAGAATTATTAATGGTTGTGCTGTTACAGAGCATTCAGTGACCAGGCTATCATATACAGTCATAATTTATACCCCCACCTAAAAACAGCTGTTTAGGTGTTCTACCTTCAGTGATTATTGAAGAAGGCAACACAGTGAGGGTAAGCACTCTTATCTCATTTGTTTTCAACATTGCAAACATAGGGAAAATCATAGTGGGTTTTTTCTTTACCTAGCTAGTTTATTTCATTTTCTGTATTTATTCCACTGTGTGTGCTAGGTCTTTGCCCTTGCATTGATCATATTTGCAGTACTTCCTTTAACAGGGAAAGAAAACAGATAGTGTGAGATAAATGGTCTATATAAATTCACATCTATTTATTCTGACGTTGTGCTCATTGAACAGTGGAATTGGACTTTTTTCAGGGATTCTGGATTTAATTCCAAATGTGAAATATGACTTCCAGAGGCCCAGAGAAATTTTGGGGTCTTTTGCCTAATTCTGTACATAAGAAAATGAGCTACCTCAGCATAAATTGGAGAAATCTACTTCTGTAAGACCAGAGATTCCAGCAATGTCTAAACCTGTGTCTTTTCTTCCAAAGTGTGGAGATATAGAAATGTCTGTTGCTTCAAGAGCTCAGCTATAGTATCTATGGACCTGCAAGGCTGGCAGGGCAATTCTGCAGCACTTTCAGGACTGCATCACAGCTTTTGGCTTGAATTTTCATCTTTATCCCACCTGAAAAAGTCTGTTTGTGCCGCTCAAAATTGAGAGTAGTATAAGGAGAAGAGCAGGAAGTGGAAATGCTGAGGTTCTCATTCAAGTTGTCAGCTTTCTTGTGTGATTTTTCCTGTGAGTCAGTTAAATATCCTTTCTGTTTCTTTACTTCTTAGGACAGTTGAAAATGCATCTGAATTTTTGCATCTAGTCAACAAAGGCCTACAGCTGAGAGTCACACACCCAACACTGGTGCATGCTCATTCCTCTCGTTCTCATCTGGTAGTGACATTGACCATAACCACAGTTGTCTTTGGAGATAACTTTGGTAAGTAGGATGTTACTAAAATACATCTGGAGCCAGTCATTTGTAGAAAAACAGTCTGTGGACTGGGAGGTTTTCATATTCCTTTTCTTCCTTTTCCAGTGTTTGATACATTCCCTCAGTTCTTTTCCATTTTTTGAACTTCTACGTTCCTTCTTAAATAACGGACCATTTTCATGTTTGAATGCTACTCGAACTTTCAGTTTCACAAAATCTTAGCACTTTTCTTTACATGCCTTGACTTCCAGAGTTGTTGAAGTTGTGATGCATGAGGCAATTAATGAATAAGTGTTATCAGAAAGTCATAAGATAAGGTATAAGACAGTAAAGACCTTGATAAGGTCTCTTACAAATAAAGTAGTCAAATAAAGTAGGTAAATAACTTAGAATGAATAAGTACATGTCCTACAAAGTTTGTGGTTAAGCTAACCATAAATTTTAGGCATCATCACATGCTTTTGGTTGAGAAAGAATTAAATTTATTTACTTTCTGCCTTGCAAAAATGTCCTTTAAATTCAGAATCTTTTGAACTGTTAATAATAGGCCACTGTACAAAAAGACAAAATACTTGTCCTGTTTACTATGGCAACATTGATATTTTTCCTTTCCACTACCACATCAATACTTAGCAGTTTATTAGTTAAGGAACAACTTTCTTCTGGGGCTCTTGGGGGCAACTTTTGTTTTCTTTTGCTCATGTTATAATTAAGCTCTCTGCTTTCAGTGCTGTGGTCCATCTCCTTCATACTCTGCAACAACAATATGAAAGTGGGAAATGTTTTAGAAAGTGGGAAATATTTAACATTTTTTCCCTTAGACTGCTATCAGAAATTAAACCAACAGAATAGCAGAACAAACAGTGCCCACTGTTACCTATGGGCCTTGCCAAAAGACACAATTATTTTATAAGTTGCAGCTCCAGCATTCCTGATGTTAACTCTAGTCAGCTCCAGATTCTTGTCAGTTAGACTGATGTTACTTTTTTAAACTCAGTGCTTGCACCATTAGCACAGCAGCCATCTTGTCTGGTCCAGAATTCCTTTGTCACTTCTAATTGCAGCCACCCCACTGTGCCATGTTGCCTGGCAGCGAAACTCTGCAGAAATGTCTAATTGTTATTGAATGCAGACTCTGGCTTTTGACTCACAGCACGTAGGAGAAGATGTGCACTGTAATGAAACAGAGAGAGCAGCGCTGCAGCTGGGACCTCACTGCAGCAGTGTGTGACAGCACAAACTGGCTTGTTTAAAAGGAAAGGATCCCAATTTAAAAGCCAGGTGCCATTGTCAAATATCTCAATGTCAGATACCTTAGTCGCTAAAGAAAAAGTTGTAAAGTCTGAGTTCTGCACCTAAAACCATGGTTGACAAACCAGCACTTTTTCAGGTTTGATTAAGGCATTTTAGCATTTTGATCAGTATTATCTGTTGTTTGAGGAGAGCTGTTTCTTAATTTCATTGTCTAAAACTGAAGAGGAGTGGGAACACTTAGTTTGACACTGTATAGCCTGAAGCCATTTATTCTGTGTAAGCCAACACAGCTGCTCTGCCTACACTGTGAAGAGCTGGCTCAGGATTTAGCAGCAGCCTACTTGGAGAAGAGTAGAGCTCTGTAATGCAAGTCAGTCTGCTCCTTAGTCAAGTTTTGCAGTTGGAAACTTTCTACTATTCCAACTAGAACTCTGTAAGCACCCAAAGAGGTCTGTTGTCTCTATGACCTGTAGCAGAATATGTGCCTTTTATTCTTTTGCTCTTTCAGAGACAGAAAGAAAGAGATAGATGAAGACCAAAACACTAAGAGAAAAAAAAAACCCAAAAGAACTGCTTGGTGAAATCCATTTTGCATATATTCCTGCTAAGCTAATGTGAAAGCAGCTTTCCCAGACAGTATTTGTCTTCCTTCCCAGCAAAGAGAGAAAGCCAAATGCTTCTGCTGAGGAATGATACTAGTAGGTAACCTACCTGAACAAGTGGGAATAACACTATTGAGGCTAATAGCTCATCATGTGGAGATCTTGCAGTGGGATATGAGGGCTGGAAGAAGTCTAGGGGGAGCAGCAGCAAAGGACAAAATAGAAGAGGCACAATAAAGTTGGGTTGGTTTTTGTTTTGTTTTGGTTTTGGTGGGTTTTTTTTGTTTTGTTTTTTTTTTTTGGTTTTTTTTTGTTTTTGTTTTTGTTTTGTTTTGTTTTTGTTTTTGTTTTCGCCAGAGCACCAGCAGGTGATGTTTCAAATACATAGAATCTGTTTTCAGAGCCTCCTGCTCCCAAGCATCCAAAATTGCACTTTGGTGTCAATCAGTCTAAAACTTAAAAAAAAAAGCCTCTTTAAAGTCCTTACTGCACTCCCATTTCTTGTTTTCCACACAGATGTGTCAACAATGGGATTATTGGATACAACACAATCTACACCAAAGCTTGTTACCAGCTGGTACAATCAGTTTGATGAGTAAAACTTTAAATAACATAGAAAAAGTCATTCATCCTGCCTGTGCCATGGAGTCTTGCTTGTACATTGCTTCTGTTAGAATAGCCTGAAGCAGCAGATGCTCTACATCCCCCTATTGATACCCCATTTTTCCCCATCTCAATTTTCAGTGTCAGTGAGAAGCTCTCTTTTGATTTTTCCATTAACCAGGTACTTTATGGGAAGATGAACAAACCAGTCAGAGACTAAATAAAGAGGCTTCCTTCACCTTTCCACAAAAAATGAAAGACAATAAATCCACCTCTTCTTCCAGAGCCTCTTCACCGGTGCAGCTTGAAGCAACTGAGAAAATGAAGCAAGTCAAAACGAGACTGCAGCTGGTGGACCTGGCTGGGAGCGAGTGTGTCGGTGAGAAAACGTGTCTGTTTGTGGGCATGGATCTTTATGGATCTAGATTACAATAAATGCCTTAGTTCTTTATGGAGGGATACACGCTGCTCACAGGGGGAGTTTGAACCCACAGATCTTGGTATAAACAAAATTTTGAGGGCTAATTGATCTGGTTTTACACTGGTATAGTTTAACTCAAAGCATGACTGTATAAGCTTGAAATAAGCCCAGGACCATATAACAGAAACACAATTTGTTCAGACTGCTTTTATTAGGCCTGTTTTTCTATTCTGAAAATTAGCATGTCTTCGGTACAGAAATGTTTAAAGGGCATAACTTATTTAAATATTACAATTATCTATAATAATTGATATCACCATGTGTGGATTTTTCTGCTTTATTGTGGAAAAGGTCTTGGAAGAATTAGTGTGGAAAAGATAATATTGTTTTCATTGTTTCTTCAAAGCATTTTCCTTCTGCCTCCTCTATGCACACAATAATTTGAAAAACTTGATTATTTCCTAAAGGACAAACTTTCTTAGCAAGAAGTTTCTTATCATGCAGCCAAATGTATCATTCCAGAAATAATGTTTTGAAAAGTATTATGAAAGACTCTTTTACTTTACTGCCAAGAATGCATCCTTTTGCTCACTGTTAAACTTTTGTTCTACAGAGAAACCTAATATAATACATTATTTTTTCATTTGCTCTAAATGCTGAAAACATGTAATTGAGCAACAGGGCGTGTGTTTGTTCTCTCAGTTAAACCAGGACAAACATTTCCTCCCTTTGGGGGTCGGCAAGCCAGATCCTCCAGTGAAGCCAGAAGAGTTGTGCTCACATCAGTGTTAGATGAGTTAGTTAGTGGCAGACTGACCTCTGCCATCAGATGTGTATCCATCAGATGTACTCTGCTGAAAGTGAAGGCAGTGTTAACTTGTAATTGTTTTAAATTGTGGTAAATCTAAGTGAGCAGCAGTACCCCAAGCTTCTCACATATGTCAGCACCCAGCCCTGTTGGCTTTACAGCTGGCCTGGGCAATTTGCAGCATTTACAAGCCAACTTGTCCCTTTTTAGCACCTGTGTTTCACTTTGAAAACTCAGCTATAAATGCTTTGTCAAAGTTCATCTAACCAAATGCAGATAATCAGTAGTTTAAATATGTACCCCTTCCCCTGTTTGCAGTTTTCTCCTTTAGGGGGATAACTTTTTTCCCAGGAGTCCGCTTTTCCTTGATATACAAGCATATAATGACCCCAGTAAAATTACCTGGAGTTTCATCCTATCTTGGATTGTTATCCACCCTTTGGCAGTGTTTTTCAAACTGTGTTGCTCTGTCCCTCTCTGACAACTGGAGACTCTACCACTCCAACCTCATCCTTTCCCACAGTTACAGTTCTACAGCCCACTCTGTCCAGACTCCTGAAATTTTTGCTATTACTGTACTTTTTCACATTTTCCTCTTGAGCTTCCCTTTGCTAGCCAGTGCTGGCCTGAGGGGAAAATAAGATCTCTAGCCACTCCCTGAACCTGTCTAGAAATAGGAGAGTAGGCAGCAGAGGAAGCTGTTGGCCCCATCTGATCCCACTGTCATCAGCTCTGCCTGACATGGATCACGTGCTCTGGGTAAGAAGTGACTGAGGGTTTATCTGTACCTCATCCACTACACTCAAGAATTTGAATTTGAATAATATGATGCTAAATGCTAAAAGCAAATTTCTCTTCCCCAAATGGCAAAGGTAAGGACAGCAAGAATTAATTACTCTTAATTGCACCCTCATCCAGACTGATCAAAGAGTTGAACTTGCTGCACCTCTTTGAATTGGTACAATGTGTTGCATAGACCAAACCTTTACTGTGTTGCTGAGGGGCAGCATAGCTACATACAACCATGCTGGGTGGGTGGTAGAGGGGCACCATTTTCCTTTATCCATTTCCTTACAGCAAATCATGCCATAAAACACCACTCCACAGGCTTTGGTGAACACAAACACTTCACACTTGTGGCTGTTGTACAGTTTTCTCTCTGCAGCTTACATCATCAGTGTCTTATCTCTTTTTCCAAAGGGATACAAATGGGGCAGCTAACTATTATTAAAAAATGGTGGAAAAAACCAGGCTTCTCTTTGGGGCCATTGTGCACTCATGTTTTCAGAAGCAGTGTTGTCTTGTCTAATCTAAACTTTCTTGTTTCCTTGTTCTTAATACCTATGGAGCAAAAAATGCATTGTACATCTGCAGAGATCAACTTTAACATGAGATGTTTTGGACCATCTGTAGACATTGAATCTTCTTTAACTTTTCCTCCACATTACAGTTTTGAAGCAGATTTGCTTACTGTTACCAGTGCCTTTTTCTACACTGTACCAGGTATGTCTGGAGTGACAGGAGCAGCACTGAGAGAGACTTCCTTCATTAACCGCAGCCTGTCCGCCCTGGCCGACGTTCTGGGAGCAATAGCAGAGCAGCGAGCTCACGTCCCATATCGGAACAGCAAACTTACACATCTGCTTCAGGACTCTGTGGGTTAGGGATTATTCTGACTTTTGTTCAACAATATAGATTTCTTCTCCTGATTTTTCATCTCCTTTGCTGTGTAAAACTAGAAGATGATCTTATACTCTTTGCATGAATTTGCCCTCTATTTCAAAGACTCTGGCTCGGGAGAGTGTGAGCACACAGTGACAGTTCTGAACTCCTGAATCAGGCTAAACCTTGCGGTTGCCAAAGCTTAGTTGAAGAACAACATCTCAATAGGATCATATAAAGGGTAAAAATTGCGTTTCACCAGTGTTTCATGTCAGGTACAGTTTAAAAGTAAAACTTCAATCTTTATTACTACAGGGTATAATCGCCTGCTTGCACATTCCTTAACGATGTGCCCTGCAGCAGCAAGACAAAGGAGGAAGACATGACATGGCACTGTGCTATAATTTCCGATTGTGTTGGGATCACTTCCTATTCTTTAGCTCCTCACCAATTCAGAAGTAATTTTAAAGCAAGTGTTATGCCTGCAGTAATGTCAGATTTGTACCCATATGTGTAGTACACTAGTTCATTTTTCTTCACCCAGAAAAAATTAGCCCTTATGCTTTTAATCTCCAGTTCAAGGCATTGACAGTGAATGAGGTAACAGTTCTCCAGAGTTTCTGAAATGCTATTAATTTTTTGCTTAAGCTTTGATTTTCACTTCATACTGGAGTCCCTACTGTGAAAAGGGAAAGCCAAAAAGAGAAGTGAGAGCTATGTTGTACGGGCACTCAGCCTGATTTTAACGAAATCTGTTACATGACTTTGGTTAAGTGTTGAAAATGGCCATTTCTTCCTTTGTTTAATCATTGTCTATAAACTTAAAGTCTGTTTTGTTTTATTGTCAAACAAGCCATTTTGCCATTACCCAAAATTTACAAATATTTGACAGAACTTAAATAAGTGTCCAGAGCCATAACATACATGATGATTAACTAATGAAGCTGCTAATAGGGGAAAAAAATTGTAACATTACAAATTGTGAAACATTTGGGGGTAAATATCATATTGTTAGATACAGACTCCCCATGAAGGAGCTGTCTGTTTCAACAGCCCTTTTCAGGAGCAGTCTTCTGCTTCATGAAAGCAATGGTAACCTGTGCTCATGTTGTACAGATCAGTATGGTAACAATGTATAACTTACTGAAAAGAATGAGGTAAATAAGTATGTTTTGTCTTTCTCTTGCTTTTAGGAGGTGATGCTAAACTGTTGGTGATGCTGTGCATCTCTCCTGGCCAAAAGTACTTAACAGAATCAATGCAGTCTCTGGGATTTGGAACTCGTGCTCGGCAAGTTCAGAGAGGACAAGTCAAGAAAAAAAATTTCCCAGTGCTGAGTAGAGGAAAATAAAACCTAAGACTCCGGTGGATTAAAGTATCATTAATGAGTTCCTCAGACTGAAATGTATATTTTTGTCCTTAAGCCATTCTTTTAGATATCAACTGCCAGCTGAAATAAACAATCCTCAACATGGCATTAATAAGCAATAAACCTGCTAATGATGTTCTTACTCCAAAGATAACAGCAAGTATTAACGACAGCTACCATGGTGGAATGGTAGAGAAATAAACTGGCTTTAAAGATGTGCCTTTGGTGATGTGTTTCTTTAATTCTACTTGACCTAAGTCAACAGGACCCTGATTTAGGGTGTTTTGCTTCTGACAGGCCAAGGGTGCATTCTGTCTTCTCAGTAGAAGTCAGGAGTCTAAATATCATTCCAGTGCTTCATAGCAGCAAGTGAAATATGTCCTCCCAGCTTGGATTAAATGAGACATACCATTTTTGACTGTTCTTCTATCTGGTATGGATGGGGTCATTCCTAATGCACTAGCAACAGGTAGGAGTGTAAAGGAACCCATCAGTTGTACTGAATGGAGTTTTGTTCTCTGGTTTTAGGTAGGAAATAATGGCATTACTGAGATGGAGAAAAATAAATAAGGTTATACCTGTTATCCCTCTGGAATGTAGCTTAGAAAGCAAATGAGGGATTACACAACTTTTTGAAAACACACTTAAGTTAAATAGTTGGAATGAGTCCCAGCTCTGCTGAGTTCATTAAACCCACAGCTTTGCCTGTTTGGGGGGTATTTTTGCTTCATGAATGCTGAGAGGCCCTGAACTACAGATCCTAATGGGACCCAACTTCTACAAATGTAGCAATCTGGCCTATTGTTTCACTTGAATTTCTGAAGCAAGTTAAATACATCACAATCTTGATGCTGTGCCTTCAGATTAAAAAAGGATAACCACACAAATAAAACACCAAACACCAGCTTGTGATATGCTGCTTGTCACCTGCAAGAGGCTTTCACTCTTTTACACCAATGGAGAGACAACATCATGCAGGGTTTGTGAATGAAGGGACACGGGGAGAAGTTTCAAGAAGTTTAAGCAGTGTTAGAGGTGAGAAGTCGGTCTGAGATGAACAATTGGGGTCAAACAACATCTGATGTGTTCTGTGTACTAAATTACTGCTCAGCAGAGGCCTCAAGAGCCACTCAATTTTTTTTCCAGCAGCAATTATTCTGCCTGTAGACTGGGAAAGAGGTCATTGTCAGGTCACTGCAAGAAGGCTTAAATTGCAGTGGCCTCCCCCAAAAGCTGGAGTTTATAGTACTCCAAGTCACTTAACCTTCACAAGCACAAATATTTATCCAGAGATTATGTAGCATACTATTATTGGAATTTCACCCTTGAATATATAACAGCTGCTGTGTTGCTTGCAGTGCCCTGGTGCTCAGAACGTAAGTATTGAACCAGAGAGCTGTAATAACACTTGCTTTCCTAAATAATGTCATGAGGATAAAAAAAGCCTTAACTTTACCTGATTCCAGCAGTAACAGAGTGGTAGAAAACAAATCTGGCCACGGGTATTTAGAAGCTGAGTGGTCAGTAAAACAATCTGACGTGAGAAAGTGTCAGAGCAAGGAATGTCAGCCTGGTAAACAAAATGCAGGAGTAGCTTCAAACTCACCTTAGTCTCTGGACAACTAGGTTACTAAAGCAGCCTGGATTACAGCTCAAAGAGGTTAAGTAACAAGGGCTGATTCTACCAGTAGTTAAAAGTAAGCTCAAGTATTTTAAGGATTTGACATTTTTAAGTGTTACACAGAAGCGCAACTTGCCATGAGCTGTTTTCTTTTTCTGAAAAACTGCCCTTCAAAACTTTGGATTTATTTATAATCTTTGTTGTAGGAGAAAAGCAGCAGTACTTATTGTTGAAGCACAGAAATAAACCCCTCAAATATGAGCAAAAAGGTTAAGTTTCTACATAAACATTAACTCTGCCAAAGAGAGTATACAACATTCCCTACTCCTGTTTTCCTTGTCATATGACTCACTGTCATATGTCTCACTGTTTGACCTGCACAACAGAGTGTACAGGATATGCAGGGCAGTAGGGTTAACATTTTGTTCTAACAACTTTCAGGTTTGGAATTTCCTGGGTTATAGAGATGAGATTGCTCAATCCCAGTGTCAGAAGGAAAGAAGGGTAAAAGCTGTAAGGGTGAAATGGCTTTACTCACGTGTCTAAGCTGAATTGCCTTCTGCCCTAAGAGTCACTCAGGCCTGCCAAAGGAGGATATTCAGACATGTAACTTATGTCTTGGGGAGCAAGAAAACAGCATGTGCAAGGCCCTTTACTTCTTTGCTGTAATTTTTCAGTGTTTAGGTCTTTTGTGCCTTGAAATTATATCTATTTTAGAAAAGCATATGTGATATTCACAGAGCTGACCTCGAGGTTTCCCTCGTTGACTAAAGCCTATCCTGATAAACCAGTCCTCACTATCTTGGCACTGTAAAGCTGAAACACACATACCAACACTGGGAGAAAGAAAGGTGATGTTTGAAAGAATTCTGAAATATTGAGATCAAAGGGCATAAGCACCAGGGAAAAGATGGTTGTTCTCAAGAGTGCTCATGTAGTCTATATGCTAAAACAACTTTGCGCTCTGAAGGACAGAGGCACAACCAAATGAGAGTAGAACCAACATAAATCAGGAGAAGATCCTTTCAGTGAAGTCTGTGAGTGCATAATGCAGCATTCAGCTGGTGCCTTGGGGCACTGGAGCTGGAGCACTCTCAACCCTGCTTCAGACAAGTCATTGGGTCACTGTCTCAGAATGCTGCCCAGTGTAGAGGGGTGCTGTTTCCTATCCATGATCCACATGCTTTGGTGGCAGTCAACATGTTAACCTTCCACTGCTGGGCTCTCATTCTCCTCCTCTGGGCCCCGACTTTCTCTTGTGACATTTCAGTTGGTGCTCACCTATGTCACACGTTGCACTGTCCCCTGGCTGGCCCTAGGAAATAGGCACACATCCACATGATGCTGCAAGGTACCACAAACCCCAGCTACCCATAGGACTGGCCTTCAGGAGCTCTTCTTGAATTTATGCAGCTCCCTGTAGAGGAGCTGAGCAAATAATTTCAGCAACAGTATCCAGAAACCTCCAGCTCTTCCTCAAAGAGCCTGCCGACTGCAGAAAACACAGCAAACACAAGAGAATTTGCTCTCGTGAATACTTTTGGTACTTAGCATCCTGGTTTAGTGTCCAGGTGGCCAAGGAGCCAATAGTGTGAAGCCTGACCAGCACAGCACCTGCCTGGGAGGCCCAGGGTCCCACAGTCATGCAGATGTACCCCAGAGCACCTTATTTAAAAGTGGAAGTAGCTTCCACACTCCTAACCCACAGGCCAAGCATCCTCCCGCAAAGCAGAAACTTCAGATCCAGTTCAAAGACAAATCTTTGAGCTCCTGTCTCTCCCAGTACATGTGAATGCTCTGGCTTGAAGATCATTTAGCAGATCTGAAGATGGAGCAAGGAAAATGGGACTCTGCCAGACCAATCCCCAAGGCCTAATAGCAGCAAGTGCTTGTCTAAGGTAGCTTGTCTTTGTATAGGTTTACATGTACACAGATGTGTACATGTAAACCTATACAAAGTTAGCAGAAATGTAGACTTATCTAGAATCATGCACTGACCTTTAAAGTACAAGTCCAAAATTTGGACAAAAGTACAGTTTGGTGCACATATTTCTCTGTGGATTTATCGTTACAGACTGAATTTATCAGCTGAGGTTGGTGGTTGGCCTTGCAGCCAAAGGAAAGGGATTAACAGGATAGATCCACTTTCAGCAAAAACTCTGCCTCCCTAGTCTAGCAAGGGAGTTCAGGCAAAGGGTTTAGAGCACCAGTTCTCAGTTTGCCATAGCCAGGGAAACTGATTGCTCAAGAACTTGATCTTGAAGAACATACAACTGCTTTGGAGGATTTTTACTTATGTTTTGCAGCCTTGAAAGCTACTGTGCCTGCCCAGCTCTGCAGTGCTGGTTCACATGCCTTTCAGCCTTTGCAAATCTCTCTACCCAGCTCCCTTGCAAAAGTCAGCTTTCTGAACAGGGCAAGGTTGCATGAAATGAGGCAGAGCAGATCACGTGGCACAAGACCAGGTGTCCACCAGTTCTCTCTGAAGATGTTTTACTTGGCACCTGCAAGATACATCTTTGTGCAGGGCAGTTCACCATATATAGCTTTGAGTGCTAAACCCACACTGCAGTTCACAGCACTCTACACCCCCTCCAGACAAACCCTTAATCTTCCTCATCACCTAGGAAAACTCTTATCACCAGAGCCCAAGAAAGCACTGTGATTCACCATTGCTTAAGAGAGCTGCACATCATCACAGGGTTAAAACAAACCAGTAATCAAACAAGACAGTGTCTTTAGCCCACTCTTAAGCAAAACCTTGACCTATGCTGATGTTTGAAAATTATATATTTAATTTCCATATGTGGCTTCATGATTTGGCAGCAGCCACACCACAAAGAAAGCCTGCTTTTAGCCAGGCTAGAAAAACCATAATCAGCATTGGAAGGTTCACAAAAATTTGTTATTAAATTGCTGATTCTATTTTATGAAGCGCTTTTCCAAACGCTTGCAAAATGTGAGGAACAGGCAGAATGAAGCGGTTACTGGCAAAGGCTCTTGGCTCTTGCTAAGAAGAAACAGTCGCAAGCTGATGGGCTCGCAAGTCCCTTCCAGCCAGAAGAAGCAGCAGCATCTCATCATGGAGGAGCAAACAGACCCAGAGAGCAGGGATGCCAAAGGTTCCACAGCCTTTCACAAAACCAACTTGGCATTTAAACAAGGACATTAATCATAGACGCAGCCAGAGGAAAATGCCAAATGTCATATAATGGAGGACACAGGGGGACCTAATTGAAGGACATGAGAGAAGAGGATACACTGCCTACAACTACTTTTGCTCTCTTGTACACGCAATTTGATCACACCAGGTTTTATCTTGCAATGCATCTTCCCCTTTTCATTTTGTTTATTTTTAAAAAAATCTAAGGTTAAATTTGAGCCTTCTTGAATTTGTGCACATATCTCATGAGATTAGCACATCTTATCCACAGATCTTCAGGCGTAAAGTTGCACCTCTTCTCATTTCCCTGGGGAACCTCAGTTAAGTCAAATTATCACCCCCTTCTTCTCCCAGGTTCCCTCATTTCATTTTTGCAAGTATCTTCTCTGTCAAGTAACCCCTCTTACTCTTTCTGTTACATGAAATTGCTATC